CAATATCTAATAACTTAATTAAATAAGATAGAATTAAAATTTTATTTTAAAAAAATAATTTATTAATATTTATCTAAAAAATAAATCTTTTTATATTGAATCATACAAATAATAAATAATATTATATTAAATTTGATAAATAAATATAAATAAATATAAATAAATAAAAATAAGAAATTATTATATTAATAAATAATTTATAATTCATAATATAATTATGATAAAAGATAAATAAGAAAAGAAAAGAAAAAATAATAAAAAATAATAATATTAAAAAATAATAAAAATAAGATATTATAAAATAATAAATTAAGATCATGAGATAAAACAAAGAATAAACCAGTAATAATATTTGAACTGGTTTGACTGATACAATAATAAAAAGATTTATATTAAAAAAAATTTTTATTTCATTTAAAAAAATTAAGAAATTAGAACTTTGAAAGAACTTAAAAATGATCGTCGCTGTCTTTTTGCTAATTGGTTATTGTTGATGCACTAATTAGAAAAACGTCATATTATAAATATAAAGGTAAATAATAATACACGTCAACAAACAAACAAGCAATCTTTCTTTTTTTGTTCTTGTTCGTCGTCGTCGATTCTTAAAAAAATTTCACATACGACTTTTTCTGAAAACCTATTCTCGTAATCCTATCTTAGTAATACAAAAATTCTTCGTGTTTAGTATATGCTATTTTTTTTCACTTGTTCATTAATTGAATATTTTTTATATTCTTAAAGAATTAAATGGGTCGCAAGGGATGTAAGTTTTATACTATTTGATTATTAGTGAAAGAATTTGTGCGAGTTCAAAATGGATATTTTTTCATTTTTTAAATTAAAGTCACAAGATTTACAAAAGGCGGACGCTCTATTTGGGGTGGTGAAGGCATAACACCTGAAACTCTAAAAAACGCACAATGGGCATGGGAGCCATGTACAAGTACAGATTACATTGAAGTCGTGGTACCGCTCTTACCGGCTAAAAAGTTACCCATTTTATATACACGTAATTAAAATCACCTGAATGAATTCATTCATGACTGCCAATTCCCTTTTGTTCTTGTTTTTTTACATCTAAATCACGAAATTTAATTTTAATTGTTTTTTTATGATAACACTCGACTAAACAAAAGCGTCATCGTCGAAAAAACGAAAGAATAAAGAATATATTGTAAAAAACCGTCATCTAATTGAAGAAAATGGATCGAAAGAGATCGGTAAAATACTATAGCATAATAATAGTAATTGGAGTCCATCATGAATAATATTATAAATTAGTTAATACCTATCTTTCTTGTTTTCAGAACCGTCAAGTACAGCTTCATTACCACGATCCATAACTGATCCAATGGCATTCGGACAGGGTTATCAGCCAGTCGTAGACCCAGAGACTGGTAGTGTGTGTGGCGTGTTTGTAGACAGATCAGAAGAAGAGGGTGAGGAACAAAGAAAAAAAGGTAAGAGACTTGAGTACGCAAAGTCTTTTATTTATCGCGCTTTTTTTCATCATCATTATCTTATATAGGCACATTGTGCCAATCTAAGGTAACAACAACAGTAGTATCTTGTGACGAAGGAGCAGCATGTCAGTTTGCACAAGATGATGACGAGAGATCGAGCCTATGGGAGTCACTTATTCGTATTGTTCAACTGGAGTACTTCCAGATGACATTTGACCCCATTATACCTTGGCCAACCTTTCCCCCAATCCCGGAACAGGCAATAAGAGCTTATCCTCATATCTTTGGTGAGGTTAACAATAATGAAATTGAACGGTCGTCAAGGGTATAAATTTTTTTTATCTGTTGTCTTAATCATTTCCCTCTTTCATTTTGATTTGAGCGAACCATTGATTTATATATTGAATATTAAAATAATAGCCGAGGATGATTTTTGATTGTGTTGAGATTGTGAAAAAACGAAAATTGGAAGGATATAAGCCTATTGGACTTGGCTTACAAAAAACTCCTAAGCAACGAAATAACAGTAATGGATGATACTAGAAAAATTGTCGAGACTAAATGATGATCAAAAAGACATCGCACGATATAATCATGCATATATTGTATATATCATTCAATACCATTATAAAAAAGCTCAAAATCAAACATACATGCTAGCAAATAAAAATTACATTCGAGTATTTCTTATACTATTGATCATAGGATTTGTCTTTATTTGCAAATTTTTAAAGGAAAAATCAAATTGGATAATTATTAAAAGTATGTTTTGATTTTTATAATGTTGATTTTTGTTTTATCTCAAATTATAATTGATTAAATTATTTTTATTTTTTTATAATTTAATAAATAAAAAGAAATATTATAATATAATTAAAAATATTATTATAAAAATATATAAATATTATAAAAATTTTTATTATATTCAATTTAAATATTAAAAGTTTAAAATAATTAATATTTAAAAAAAATATTTTAAATAATATTTAAAATTATTTTTTATATAATTTAACAAATTTAAAGTTTAATATTAATTATTTAATTAAAATATTATAAATTATTATATTTGATTAAATAATTTATTTATATAAAATATTTAATATTTACTTTCAAAAATTATATTTTATATTTTAATAATTTATATAATAATATATAATTATCTCTTAGGTTTTATATTTTAAATCAGATTCAAATAATAATAAATTATTTGTTAATTTTATATATATTATAAATTAAAAATTTATTATTAGTTATATTATATTATAATAAATATTATATATATATAATATATATTAATTATATTAACTTATTTATTAATTATTTTATATAATATTAATAATTATGAATTAATAATTTAATATAATTATAAGATTATTTATTAATGATTATAAATAAAGTAAAATATAAATTTTAATTTATAAAATTTATGATTTTTATTATTTAAATAATTATTTTTTGATCAATTTTTTATGAAAGCTACTTAAATTTAAGAATTCTTGTATATAATATCAAATTATATATTATAATATGCAAATTGAATCAATTAATATAAAAATTTTAAATATTTCTATTTTTTTAAATTTAAACTTTTGTATTATAAATTTTGTATTAATCTATTATATAATAATTTTTGATAAAAAGATTACTTATTTAACTTTTTTAAGATTTTTAAACTTAAAGAAAGAATTATTTATTCTTAAAAATTATTTAGAATTAAAAGTTTATAATATTTATAAAAAAAGAAATAAATATAAAATATAATATTACAAACTATATTTATAAAGATAGATTTTATCAGAAATATAATTAAGTTTTGAAGATTAAGATTAAATTATTTATAAAGATAAAGAGAATTATAATTATTTTAAAGATTTTCTAATATTATAATTAATCATCTATTTGTATAATAGAATAGATATAATATAGTATATAATATAGTCATAGTATATAATATAATAATTATCAGTTACTACTAAATTGGATATACAAGAATTTTATAATTTAGCTATATGTGTCATACTTAATTTATAGTTTTATTAAATTAATAATTTTCTAATTAATTATTATTAATTTTTCTTTCTTTTCTTACTTTAATTTTAAATATCTTAATATTTTACTAATTTTAATTCTTAATTATCATGTATTTAATATTTTTTATGATTATTCTTTTGAAATTCTACTTATTCTTAAATAAATTAAGTGAAATATTATGTTAAAAATAATTTATAATTAGCATAGCAAGAAAATATTATATATAAAGAGTTAAGAAGTAATTAAAAAGAATAATTAAGTTTGATAAAAAGAATTAGTTACTGAGTTAAGAATAGTTAATTAGTATTTTTCTTTAATAAAATATATATATTTTATCATATATCTTATCTTATTTTCTTTTTGCTCTATTAAGAAAGCATTTTATTAGAAGTAAAATTCATATATATTATCTTATTAAGAAAATAATTAATCATATAATCTTTCAAAAGCTATAAAAGTAAATAATTACTATAAATATAGTTATTTTTATTATTTTAAAATATTTACATATACATAAACTTAAAATAGTAATAATATTAATACTTATAAGTATTATATTAATATAAGACAAAAATAAAATAAGATGAAAAAAAGTTATGATTATGAAAACTATAACTATCTATAACTAAAATAATAAATACTATAATTAAAACTAAAAATTTAATATATTAACTAAACTCTCTAACAATATCTTTTTAACTATTAGATAAATAAGAATATATATTAAAAATAAAATAAAGCTTTTATATATAAGAAAATTTACAAAAATCTTTATAAATCAAATAAATATACTTGATTTATTTTAAATGGAAAATATCTACTATCTATATTTTTTAGGCAAGAAAAATATATAATTAATCAAAATATAATCTAATATAATAGAAAAGATAATTGAAAATAAACTATCAGAGTAAAAAATATAAAGATAATTACAAGATAAGTATAACTTAATTATTATTAAATAAAGAAATTATTATTATTCAAGTATTGTTACCATTTTTGATATCTCTTGAAAAGGTTATTTTGTGATAGGTTAATAACTTTATATATAATATTTGCTAGAATAATATATAATAAAGATATTATGAATTACAGATGGGAAAGACTAATATAATTAAAGATATAATGTAATAGATATTAGACTATGATTATAATAAGATTAAAGATAGGTAACAAGGATATATTCATGATATAGTCAGCTAGAATGAGATCTGGAATTATAATATAAGAAATATATGATAATAAATAAGATATTATTAATAAAAATCATTAATTTATAATATTATTATGTTTAAATTATTATTTTATCTTATTATTATTTAATTTATTAATTTTTTTATTAAGTTATTTTATTTATTTTATTTATTTATTAATTAACTTTTTTTAATTAACTTTTTGATTTCTAACTAAGATACACTACTTTTATATATTTTAGAGATTTTACAAATAATATTTTTGTTATGATCTAAATACTACTTTTACTAATATCATAATGTTAGTTTTATTATGATAACATTACTAGTTTTGCTATGATAGTTTTACTAATTTTGCTATAATAATTTCATTATGAACATTATGCTTATAAAACTATCTAAAAATATTTACTAATAATACTATCTTAATTATTATTCAATACAATATAACTAAATAATTATCCAATAAAATGCAAGTATAAAATAACTAATATTAATAAAATATATATAAAAATTTATATTATAAAAATATATTTATTTCATATTTAAGAACAAAAATATTTATATATTTTTGAGATTATATAAATTTTATTTAAATTTTATTCATAACTCATTTACTATGCTAATATATAATTATAAATTTTGAGATAAAAAATTATAAATAAATAAATAAATAAATAAAGAGATAAGATATATATAATGTGTAAGATTATTTTGTTAATAATTGTAAATAAGATAAAATGTGATATGAATAAGTTTTAATTTTATAATTTATGATTGTTTTTATTATTTAAAAGTATTCAGATCTGAGACTAAAAGTACAGAACAGAGAGGTCTTATTTATAAGA